CTAAAAAATCTTGAAGAAAAAACAATTAGAATTGGTGGAATTATAACTGAATATGTTTAGGTAGGTTTTAATAGCAATTTTTTTTTTTTCATAAGTAGAATCAGCTCTGGACTTGGAATCATTAGAATTGAGGCTAGATTATTTGGATAAATATTAATAGTAAATTTTTTTTTTGTTTTATCATTTATTAATTTTCTTAATCTTTACACTTTTTAAGTAGAATCAGCTCTGAACTTGGAATAATTGAAATTGAGGCTGGATATGTTTGAGTAAGTATTGGCAGTATTTTTTTTTCATTTTATTTATTTATTGGTTTTTCTTTTTCTTCACTTTTTTTCATATGTAGAATTAGCTCTGGACTTGGAATTGGTAGAATTATAACTAAATATATTCAGATAGGTATTGATAGTGATTTTATAAGTAGAATTGGCTTTGGACTTAGAATCATTAAAATTAAGAATAGATCATTTGAGTAAGTATTGGCAATAAATTTTTTTTTTTCATTTCATTATTTATTGATTTTCTTTTTTTCTACTCTGAATCAGCTCTAGACTTGGAATCGTTAGAATTAAGGCTAGATCATTTGGATAAGTATTGGCAGTTAATTTTTTTTTTGTTTTATTACTTTTATTGATTTTTTTTTTTTCACTCTTTTTTATACCTAGAATTGGCTCTGGACTTGAAAATTGATAGTGATTTTTTTTTATTTTATTGTTTATTTGTTTTCTTTCTTTACACTTTTTTTCGTAAATAGAATCAGCTCTAAACTTGAAATCGGTAGAATTGTGATTGAATATATTTGGGTAGGTATTAACAGTATTTCTTTTTTTTTTTTTTTCTTTTATTAATTTTCTTTTTCTTTATCTTTTTCATAAATAAAATCAGCTCTAGACTTGAAATTATTTAAATTTAAGCTAGATATATCTAAATAAATATTGGTAATGATTTTTTTTTTTTTGTTTATTATTTATTAGTTTTCTTCTCTTCACTCTTTTTCATAAATAAAATTGGTTCTGAATTTGGAATTAGTAAAAATTAGCTTTGAACTTGGAATAGCAATAAATTTGTTATAAATTAGTTGAAAATTTAAAAATTTTAGTTAAAGGTTTCTTTTAATTAATAAGTATTAGGGTTTTTTTTTTTTTTTACTCTTGTTTTTTTTTTTTTATTTGTTTGATAACATTTCTTTTTTTTTTGGTTTAGTGAATTGATACTAGATATCGATGAACAACTTATATAGATTTGAAATATATAGCTATATTATCATTATGACATAACTTGTTAATTGATAGTGCATATTAAACTGGTAATATACAACTATATTATCATTATTATGGTATAATATCTGTTAATCAATCAATTTATATTAATTGGTTTTTTTTTTTTTTTTTTTTAAAATTTTATATATAATTATTTTATAATTATTTTTTTTTCTATTCATTTCAAAGAGAAAGCAAATAATA